CTTGACTGGTTTTCGCTCAGCCCCAACAATATCAACTTCCTTCACGAACCTCAATTGTCAAATCTCTTCCTCCTAGGAGGACACTGTCGACTGTAGGGCTTCACGCTCATATTACTCTCAATAAAATCTGCTTGTGCCTCTATTTTTGTCAGTTTTTCTCTTTTTTTAAAAGAGTCACCAGCTTGTTTATCATTGTATCATTGCTTTTTCTGAGTAAATCATTTTTTCGGATCATATGGAAGATCTGTAGAAGAGAAATAAAAAAGGATGGGACATACAACAATGAAGATAAATGAGAAAAAATGTGTGGAGAACTTTTGTGGAGTAAACTTTGCATGATAGCCCAAAAGCATATGTCTGAAATGCGATCGGATCGAAAATGCTTTAGAACATATCCATGACGGAGACCCTACAAAAGCAACCTACAACCAGAGATTCAAGCGTCTGTCCTTGTTCTGAAATCAAGAGCAACTCTCAAAGGGACATATCTCTTTTGTTAATTATATCTTGGGAGTGCCCAAGAATACTCTTGATTAAAGGAATCTTGCTTACACTTGTATAACGACTAACAATGAGTGTCACAAAGGACAGTTATGTCACAGGAGCGTCTCGATGCCTTCAAAGCTCACACCTATCCATACAGGCAGAGAGTGAATCTCTCAGGTTCCCATATAAATGGCGGTTTATCAGTGACCAAGGTCTATGAAATACCTGGGTCGTCCCATAGGTAGTCCTTTTCGATGACCCCAAAATGTATTTTTTAAATATAATGTATAAAGTAATAAAAATATGTAGATTTTTATACTTTTAAAATAGTTCCTAAGAAATAGAAAGTCTAAATGACACCCATTAAACCCCTTAAACTTTAATACAACATATTCATGTTGGTCCACGGTGTGATAGGTAGTATTGCCATCTAAGGCATCCTCGTGGGCAATACTAGATGCCACATTGTGACCAGCAGAGGGACACTTAGCTAGCGATCCAGCTTCACCGTACAGACGATCGGTTAACACTTGCGAATGTAACATGATCCAGTGTAATGTGACAGTCTAGGGTACTATCTTGAGATCACAAATATTTATCACTAGTATACGGTGGCTTATACAAATGATGAATGTGCCGATGGTGCAGTCATGAGCATCCAAAACATACTACACAAATGAGGATAAGTGTGATGAGGAAGCAATAATTCAGGAGTGAGTGAGTTGAGCAGGCAGTGACTCGAGATTGAGTGTGCTAAGGAGCAGTGACTTAGAAGGGTGAGTGTGCGAGGAGCAATGAATCAAGGGATGAGTGTGCCGAGGAAGTGGTGACTCGGGGGTATGCGTGTTGAGGGGGAGGTGGCTCAAAGGGTGTGTGTGTCGTGGAGGTAGTGACCCAAAGGGTGGGTGTGTCGTGGACGTAGTGGCTCGGAGAAAAACCCATGACTGTGTCATCGTAAGAAGAGAAGGTGAGGTAATTCTCATGGGAGAGAATTGCATACTGGGTAGACTTGATGTGGAAGCCGTTCACAAATAGGACACGTGGATATATGGAATGAGTGTGTGTGAACAGTGACTCACGCAAACTCAAACATGCACGTCATGATCATGCAAAATGACATGCAAAGAAAATGGGTGAGGGAATACTAGTGTGAGTGCAAGACGCGAAGTTATCATAGAGCAATTATGTCGAGTGATATACCTATGGGAGGCACGAATGCTTGTAAAGAGCATATGAGGGCATATGCTCATAAGTACACAATAGGGAACAAGTGTGAATGTGTTAATGACTGACAATGTGAATCAAACATACAATGATGCCACATTAGAAAGAAATGGTTGGCAAAACTGATCAGGCCGGTGGGGCCGAGCGGACGAGACGACAAAAGAAATTTGATAAATCCAATCGGGCCAATGTGGTCGATCGAACGAGTTGACACATGATTGTCGGTTGCGTTGATTGGGTCGGTGGGGTCGATCAGGCGAACAAACGAAACATATGAATGTATAAATATGGCTCAAATTTAGTTCATAAGCAAGTTTTTATTTATAGTTTCAAACTGTTGTGAGATATGTACTTCCTCGCATAGAAGTGAAACACAAAGAACACAAGCAAACACATATTGTTTACGTGGTTTGATCCAATTGGATCTACGTCCACGGGAGGGAATCAATCAAATAGTTCACTAAGGCAAAAGAAATGGAGAATACATAGTTTATACATATAGATGCGCCCTCATCTTCCTTCCATGACCTCCCTCTCAAGCGACACCTTGATACAAGGTCTCAAGATGCTCTCCTCCTCTCTAGCTCTCTAGTTATTCTCTCCTCCTTTGTGGTAGCTTAAGATCTCTTCCCTTGCTCTCATAAGCCTCACACCATCTCTATTTATAGAAGCAAGAGAGTGGTAGGTGAGAGGTAGGTGAGCGGTAGGTGAGATGTGGTAGGTGCGCGGTACCACATTACAAAAGTGTCATTTTACCTTAGTTCAATAATTGAGGGTCAAAATAACACAAACTTTAAGAAAATGTTCTCATCTCCACTCTTGTTGGATGCACAACACAAGCTGATTCAATGACAATGGCCACACTACGACACTATTCCTTGATGAAGTAGCGTAACTCACATGCTCATAATAGTTTATAACATAAAGGATACTCTTAGCTTCTTGCCAGAAGCATTGCTAATTACATTTCAGTAGTAATTTTATACTGTAAATTTACATTTTATGATGCATAATGTGCTACTCACTATAGTATGTTTTATGATGATCATGTGACTCCAATTTCTCACTACATGACATTCTAATAAATTGACTACAAAAAATGACTATTATATAATAAGATTGGACAATAACAATAGTAAAGTTTTGCATATAATAAAATGATAATCAAGAATAATGCAAGTGATACATCATTGTATATAATAATACTACTTATTGTTATTGTCATTTGGGTCAACATTGCTTGAAGATGTTGCTCTTACAATTGCTTTCCTTCAATGTTCTTATAAAGACGTTAAGTCACTAGCATATGACCCCCTCAACATTGCCATATTCAATTCTTGCACAACTTTCACCAATGGGCGAAATTTATTTATTTGGTTTTGGCATCTCGAAATTTTCTCATTTGACATTTTTCACATGCAAAATCATTCTCTTTTTTATTTGTGCATTTATAGAACTAACCCAAAAGGGAGCTCTCGTACTCATAATATGTAAAAATCTCTCCAAGTATGTAATAATTTGGAGTTATTTTTTTGAATCTCTCAAATTCCACTAAATTGGAGTCATAAGTATTGAGTTTAAAACCCATGTCATGACAATCAAAACTTCAAGCCCTTTCCACATTAGTTGCAATTATTATTATTTTTGTCTTCATTCGTTATAAATAGAAAATAAACAAAATACTTAATTATAATATTACATCTCAACCAATTAGATCTAATTTTCATGTAAGGACCTTGGCTCCCTATTCTTAAAAATCATATTTAGAATGTAATTAGTTCAATTCATTGTAATCATACTCTAAAGTTTAAGTCAATTCCTCATGCAAAACTTTTATTTTGTTTTTATTTCACTTATTTTAAAACATTACCTACTACTATGATTTGGCTAGTTCATGAATGATAAGAAGTCCTTTCAATTTTCATAATGGTCAGTACATACATACCACTCAATTCTTCTTATGCATTTACATATCTAACACCTATACTTTACGTCTTTTTACGTTTATACCGCCTAAAGCTTTCACTTCACATAAGAAAATGCCATCATTTTAACTTTTAAAAAGTGAAATACACTTTTTCATGTATAGCTAAAATGACATGTATGTAAAAATTGAAATGTAGATGACAAATACGTAAGTACATAGGAATTAAGTGGTATGCATGTTTATCTTACTTTTAATAAATAAGTAATTAAGTTTTATTATTTAGACTTGATTGGTATGTATGTACATTTTCCTTTATTTTCTTGTGTGTTATAATACAAAATAACATTAACTTAATTGATTAATCCTTCATGATATTTTTTTGTCATTGTGTTTCTAGTATATGCAAAGGGTACGATTGGGGCAACAGTGCTATAGTGGTATGACATCTCACCAATTTTTTTGGCGTTTGCAAAACACAATTTCACTTATTTTTTCAAAAAACTGTGATGAGAAGCTGTGTTTCGCAACCTGATTTTAGTTGCCAGAAAATTGTGGTCTGATTTTTTTATGACAAAAAAATTTGTAATAGTCACTGTATTCTTTGAACAAGAGTTTCCTCAAATAACTTTAGCTTATCCAAAATAGACCATAAAATATTCAAGGACGAGTATCAAAAAATATTAAATTAAAAAATTGCTAAAAACCTCTTTCATAAAACTAACATTTTAAACTTAATCTAATCGGACATAGAGTTACCTTGAATATTACAAGGGATTTGCCCTAAAACCCAACTTATTAAATAAATAAATAAATAACCTAAGGTTGACATGTGACCTAGGCTTTGATATTTAACTCAACATCTATTTTCTTAGCTCAACCCATATTTATTACCATTAATTATTTATTTACCCGTCGAAATATATATATATATATATATATATACTCTGCTCTCTGCTGGGTTGGGGTTTCGGCCAACACCCATCAGATCCTCCATGTGAATTTGATACCCCAGGGTGGGCCACCCCATGACCAAAATAACCAATGATAGCTCCACCGCGGACCCCACCAACCCCATCCATAGATCTATCCCCATGCTCCCAAATAGCATGCTGAAAACAGACAATCCACAGTTATCTCCCCATATGTACTGCAAATATTATTTTAATGCTTCTGTTTACCAATCTTCTTCCCAAATCATAGAAATCTTAAATACACTAAAAATCACAGTTTTATTTGCATAAATTAAAGATTGATCAAATCAATTTCTTAAAAACCAATATGTACAGTACTATAAATTATAAACAAAAAAATGTGTGGCACATATATAAATTTCACATAGTACAACACTACTATACAAAAAATTCACATAAATACAAATTCCACACCTAATATCCTCTCATAAACTCAGAAACTGAAATCTGCTCTCAGAAGAAAAGAAAGCTCAGCAGCAAAATTCATGGCCATGGACTGGTACTCATGGCTCTCAAAATCTTCCATGCTGGACCAGAGTCTGGTCTGCGAGTATTCTCTCATCCTCTCCCAGAACGAGCTGGAAGAGGAGGATATCATCCACTTCGACCACCAGCTTCTCCTCAGCATGGGCATCTCTGTCGCCAAGCATCGCCTCCAGATCCTCAAGCTTGCTAAAGAACACCGCCGCCACCGACGCCGCAGGCGGCAGCCTCCCCGACCCCTCGTCGCTCTCCTCACCGCCGTCCACAAAACCCGCGACTGCTTGGCAAGGTAACAACAACATTTCAACATCATTTCTAAGCATAGGTAGATCTGGAGAGGGGTTGGAGGTGAATTTCGCCCCATAGATTTCAGAAAATTTATATGCAATTATACATAATATGAAAACGATGTGATATTGCGACAGGTATGTTCACAATTTAGTCCACCATGAAAGCAAGGCTGTCGTGGTCGTGCCAAGGCTCGTCGGCGGCGAGCGGCGGCAGACGGTGAAGAAACGAAGATTGCTGATCACTGATGCAGTCTGCAGTGGAGTTAAGGCGCTTCAGCTTGGCAAGAGTAGTCCGGCTTCACAGAACCCACTGGTGCTGCTTGCTTCAAAAGAAGAAAAATGGGCTGGATACAAAAACAAAGAGCAGATGAGGTGGGATGCCATGTTTCAGGATCTGAAGCCGACATGAAGGGATGAACTTTATCCTCTTCTAAGATTTCGGAAGATTCAGAGCAGCTACAGAATTGAGATTTGTGTAAAAGGAGGGAGCTTTACCTGAAATTTGAATGAAATTTTATTGTAGAGATAGACTAGTTTATTTATGAGTAAAAATTTTGCAGTTATTAACAGAGATGTCTTAAACATAGGGAGCTATACCAACAACTATAGTAGTGATGTTACTTGCTATGTTCTATTTTTGATGTCTCTACTTTAGCTTTGTGGATTCCAGCTATTGTTAATGGTTAGATTTACTTAAAGGTGGATTGTTTAGGGAGTATGATTAATCACTTTGCTATTGTGGGAGACTGACTGTAAAATTGGGAGATAACTTTTTTTTCTATTGAATGATTAATTTGCTTTATGATTAAGTTACGTAGATGGCTGTGTGGCATCCACAATATAAAAGAAGAAGACTTTGGTCAATCTGGAAAAGAGATTTGGCCCCATATCTTATGGAGTTAAAACTTAGGAAGGAAGGCAACTTTTTTTGTTTTGCGAGTTTAGTTTTATTTTACAATTTTATGGCCATGGATTTCAGAGCTGTGCTTCTATATTTGTTTTTAATAATGATGATGATGGTAGTGGACTTGGAAGTAAAAACATTATAAGATAAAGAATGATGCCTCTTGAAGTAAAATAAAGAAGAGAAGAAAAAAGTAGTCATAAAAAACGTTGGGATTTATATGTTAATCTTTAACGATGCATATATTTATTAGTAAAAGAAGTCATAATTATTGTGCATGACCGAAGAGCATTATAAAGAATTGCAACTTGTTGTTTACATCACATAGCAAAATAGAAAAATTTAAAAATAGAAGCTATGAAAAAGATATATATTTTATGTCTTTCATACTACATATGCAATGTTGCAGTTAAATAGTGTGCTTCAATGCATAACATATTAGCTGAAAACAAAATTAAGAATCCCTAAATATCGGTTCTAGTACTCACCTTGCAAAAAAAAGAAAATGTTGTAGTTGATATAGAAGAATAGATGGGACAAATTTTGAAATGTAGCAAGGATGGTTTACAATCAGATGGCTGGTATTATATAAATGAGTGTGAATGAAGAATGAAGATGAATAGCAGGAAAAGTGTGTAATTGCAAATTATAAGTGTCACTATTTCTCATAACTTATGTTAAGTTGTTGCTCTTGTCATCGCACTCAACTTGATCAGCCAATGCTCAGATGGCCAATTTGTTAAGGTGGTGCTGAAATTAAGAAGTGGATAATAATCTAGTGATGATATATGTAGTTGATTTGTAGAATTAATGTGAAGAACAAAGATTTCGTTGAAGGGTATGCATTCTTTAATAAAATGGTAGCTTATTTTGGTATTCTTGGCACGAGTGTGAGAAAACCAATTATTAGCTAAAGCCATAACAAAAGTATTATCACAATGAAGAGGTGGGGGGTGTGGAAAAGAAATTGCAAAGTCAGAATTCTATGAAGCCATTTACTGTTAATTACCATGGAGCTAATGCTTTGTACTTAGTCTTAGTTGAAGATTTTGTCATGACTGCTTGTTTCTTGACACTCTAAAAATCAAGGTTGTGTTCTAGAAATGAACCTTGTACTGTAAACAACTTTTCATCAACAAGATGCATTGCCTAATTCGCAACTGAAAAAGAATGAATTGTGAGATTTCCTTTGAAAATTGGAAGAACAAAGTGAGTGGTACCTTTAATATAACAAATAAGCACCTTTAGAAGCATAAAATGATTATTAAGTGGCTACGTATAGACATACATAAGTAACTAACACTGAAAGCAATGTATGGCTAAGATATTGTCAAGTACTGTAATTAAGAGTTTACGAGTTACTAAAATAGGTTTGGGATCTCAATGAAAGATAAGAAGAGGTCAATGGATTTTTTAAGAGGAAAAGGAGTAGTGACATGTTTGCAGTTGCTCATATTATGTTTTTGAAATAATTTATTAGCATATTTATACTTGCTGAGTGACCGACTTCTTTTTGTAATCGACAAATACAAGAATTTGATGACGCTACTAGAAAATTTAATTTTCCAGCAACAGTGTCCAAAGACTTGATCGCGGCTTTATAGATGTGTCTGATTTGATTAAGTTGTATAATTATAATATTCAATAATGTTAAAGTCAAATTTGTCAACGCAAGTATACGTATCGCTCAAGTAATATAGGACTCTAATGGAGTCCTAGATATCGATCCCACAAGGAGTGTTTTAGAATCACGGACTAAGACTTTTAGAAAAGCAAGACTTTAATCACAACAACGACGTTCAATTTGCTTATCTGTCACTAATAGGCAATTGAAATAAATAAATAATTTTAATAACTAATAAATAACTAATGATATAAAGTAGGGTTTAATTGTGATATTCAATATATAAGAAAACATTCTTCTCCTTGACAAGATTTTATAGTGAATGGATAAAATGAATTTGTTTGATTTATATTGTGCCAAATTGGAACATACCTATTCTTTACCCTTTGGTCCAGGCATAAAGAACATTG